TACTAGAATCAATTCTCGGTTTGCTGTCGAGTATTTCGAATATTGAAGCAGCAGCTCCTTTACCTTTACTCAGATCAGAGGGAAGGTTGCTAAGAACAGAAAGCCCAATTGATGCCATCGTTAAAGCAAAAAAGACCTGCAAAAGAAAGTTGTTTAGGGAACTCTAATGCTAGTTGTGTTTATGTTGTGTCCACTGACAATATAAAGAATTTTTACACTATCAGATTAAGTTGAGCTACAATAATAGGTAATTCTTCATATCATATAATAACGTGGTGAATAGATTACTAACATATTATAATCGATTAAATTGCTCTTATATTATAAAAGTTATTTGCACTGTCAGTATATACGACTTAAACTCAAAAAGTTATAGATATGTACCTTAAAAACTTCTGAGAATTTCGCTTTGTCATGCTTCACAAGAACGGCTCCAAGGTAGAATACTAACGCATAAAGGCAGTACAACACGAAATTACTAAAGCCTAAACCAACTCCACTAACTAATCCGTTTTTCACTCCTCGTTTCAAAGGAGCTTCTGATTTCTTTTGATACATTTCCATCACTTTTTCTTCCGCACAAAATGATGCAACAGTTCTAATGCTCCCAATAGCATCATTTGCAACTTGACTTGCTTCTTCATTCATTACCTGGCAAACACACAATAACGCACTCACATTCGCTGACGTGCTTCTTAAAATTTAAGAGTAACTTTTATAAAAAGGGCAGCCCGATGCACTAAGCTCCCGCTATGTGTGGGGTACGTGAAAAGGCCGGACCACAAGGGTCTATTGTACGCAGCCTTACTTTGTATTTCTGCAAGCGGCTGTTTTCGCGGTTCAAACTCGTGACCTTCTGGTCACAAGGCAACAACTTTAGCAGTTACGCCAAGGTTCCCCTTCTTAAGAGTAAATTCTTTAAAACTGTGAGGTCACCTAAAATATAACTACCGGTAACTTCCATAATACGTGAAACTATTTATCTTAAAAAATAAGGTAGGCAACCTATTACAACAGGTTAAATTGCTAGTGAAAAAATGAAGTTACACCTTTTAGTGTATATAAGTTAAATTCAAAACGCAATAGGGAAAAGGGTTAGTTTATTAAGGAATATAATACCTTGGCTTCATCATTTGATTCTTGCAAAAGTTTGATCTGTATATACCCTTGCAAAGCCAGAAGAGGCATTATAGCAATGGTTATAAGTGCAAGAATCCAATTCGCGATAAGAGCTATCACTAAACCAGTTACAATAGTGGAAATATTTTGAACTAATGTTGCTAATGCATCCCCCACCATATTCCGGATAGTCGAAGCATCACTAGATAGTCTTGCACCTATAGCACCACTGTATAAAATAAAATTCAGAGTCAAGAAATTTGGCTAAGTTTAGAAAACATTCAAATATCATCGACTAGCAAATTTACCATGAGTTTGCAGGGTCGTCAAACCAACTAATTTCTTGGTACACCAACTTAGAGAATGTCATGGAACGTATTCGTTGGATCAGTTTTGCACCAGCAACTCCAAATGCATAATTTTGCAAAGGTGAAACAATCATGACAACAATTCCAATAACCACAAACATTAGAGCCCAAAATCGAGAATCCTTTCGAAGTTCATGGTGAGATTCGTAAAAGATTTTGATAATTGTTGATACCAGAAGACCAAATACAGGGAAAACCATACCATTTATAGCAGCAGCTACGGTTCCCACTAGCATTATGGGAAGTTCAGGCTTATTTAAGTATGCGAGTGACATTAGCTTTTGAGTGGAGACTTTTTTCGTAGTATCTGCAATATACTCACTGGTTCCAGCTCCATCTTCCCTTCGGATACTTTCATGGAAATCAACGACACCAGAAACTCCCAAGTCATATGCAAAGGAAAATTTACTGCTTGATCCTTTGCTCGCAGACTTCCGACCTGAAAGAGAGAATCTCCTACTCCTACTAGAAACATTCTTCGAATAACTCAAACGTTTTTGTGCGTTCAAGTCCTCGATTTCTTTTCCTTTGGTGTTTTCGACATGCTTAGTCTTTTGCTGCATTTGAACAAGTTGAGAATATGCTCCTTCAGGATCTTTGATCAACTCATCATGCGTTCCTGGAAGTAATATCAAAAGGGTATAACACTTGTCATTCGGAAACCAAACAAGGATATAGGCGCCAACGACCTCTAATTAGGTCCGATACTCATTAGTCCAACAACAATATTAGAACGAGGAGAGTAGTACATGTATTACCTTGTTCAACCAATTTCCCAAGATGCACAACGGCAATGAGATCAGCATTTCTAATGGTTGTCAGGCGATGGGCAACAACCACAGTCGTCCTATTTATCATTATATTACTTAGAGCATCTTGTACAATGCGTTCTGATTCCACATCCAATGCACTAGTCGCTTCGTCAAGTAGAAGAATTCTTGGATCTTTCAAAATAGCCCTTGCAATGGCAATTCTTTGCTTTTGCCCACCAGATATCTGAGTACCGTGCCCACCAACCATCGTGTCCAGCCCCTGCAAATATATATACACAATGTTAGTTGAATCTAAGAAATAAAAAATATGTTGAAGTGTTTATATTACTTAAAAAAAAAGTTGCTTCGACCTTCGGAAGCTTGTCAATAAATTTAGCTGCGTTAGCGAGCTGGATCGCATTCCTGATCTCCTCTTCACTAGCTTTTTCTTTCCCATATAGTATATTTTCCCGTATAGTAGTCGCAAATAACACAGGTTCTTGACTTACTAGCCCCATTTGTTGTCTCAACCACTTGAGTTGAAATTTCTTAATATCAACTCCGTCTATAAGTATTTCACCAGCTTCGGGATCATAGAATCTCTCTAGCAGACTAATAACAGTTGATTTTCCACTTCCACTTTGCCCGACTAAGGCTGCTGTTTTACCACTTGGAATATATAACTTGAATCCAGAAAATATTTGCACATCTGGTCTTGCTGGATACTTAAAATACACATCTTTAAGCTCAATTTCTCCTTTAATATCTTCCAATTTAATCCCACTAGGATCATATGGATCAATTTTTGGTGTACGTTTAATTGTCTCGAATATCTTGTATGCTGCTGCCTGCCCTGCCGAAAATGCATTCAAACTTGGAGATGCTTGACCTAGTGAACTGAAACATAGAAGCGGATCATTGTAATTCAATAACTAAATCACAAGGACAACATCAAATGGATTACGTAAAGCCAATCATTTTATTCTTACCTTCCACCTAACATAACTGCAAAAATTACACTTATGATATCGCCACCTTTGTAATCTTTCTCTATGATTAATTTGGCTCCATACCATATGGCAAGTCCATAACTAAAGAAGATAAGCGTTAGTATTGTGCCAAGTCCAAGTCCCGAAGCCAACGCTTGTTTGACAGTAGCACTATAAGCACTTTCCAGCTTACTGTTATAATCTTCTATTGCTAACTTCTCTCCTGTGAAAGAAGCAACCTAGGGAATGGAAGACTAGTTAAATAAACTGGAATGATCATAAGCACATATGTAACTCGATTTACTTAAAAGATAAATTCTTACCGTTCGGATTCCTCCCACTGTTTGTTCAACCACCTTTCCTGCATCTGCATAAGCAACTTGTCCACTCCCTGACATTTTGGACAAGACTAATGCCACACATCCAAAACTAATTGCGGTTGCAGGTATGGATGTGAGTAACACTAGTGTGAGGAGCCATCCTTTGATAAACGCGACTACAAATCCTCCAATGAAAGTTGAGATGTTCATAATGAAATTCGCAACCTAATACATTCAAGCTATAAGAAACCTTATTTCAAAAGCACAACGTCTTTACGAATGACGACAACAACAACAACAAAAAATCCAGTATAATCTCACAAGTGAGGTCTGGGGAGGGTAGTGTGTACGCAAACCTTACCCCTTACTTGGAAGGTAAAGAGGTTGTTTCCGAATGAAATATACAAAAAATGCAAGAGTAACTCCCCATGTATGAGCATGCACGTACTGGTTGTCTCAAATCTAGATAAAGGATGAGGGTTGCAGTACTAGTCAATCTACTCGGTGCTCCCCCCTCACTGCCCTCCCCCAATCTGCATGACTTACAGTTCTTCCATGCGTTTTAACAAGGATTACAGGTTTCAAAGTACAAGGATCCTCACAACTAATTTTCAATGTGAATTCAACCACAAATTCCGTAATATATTTTGAAATTAAATTACATATTTAGAAACCATATAGAAGTGTTATAAACTTAAAATTAACATATTTTATATTTAAATATATTTGTGAAAATGCTAGAAAAATATGGCCGAAGGATTTAACTCCACAAAATAGTGATAGTGTCATATAAATCGGGACAGAGGGAGTAAGAGACAGTTGTGAATTTAGTAAATACAACGAAAATAATAGCTATTACAGAGTTAGAACTAACCTTGTCACCCATGGCTTCTTGAACTAGAATAGTGTCTCCCGATATTCTTTCAATAACTTCCCCTGTTGCCGATTGAGTATCAAAGAATCCAATATCTTGTCTTAGGATTGTTTTCAGGTATAAGCATTTTATTCTAGTTGCTTGCCTTTCTCCAGTTACCACCCAACATGCTATCTCTGAAATGGTTAAATAGACATCAAGAGTTAAAACATTAAACAGGGCATGTTCATCAAATTGGTGCTATATCTTCTTCTTCTTGAGCTTATTTTACTAATCACTTTGCATCCCATACATTTTTCGCCCCATCTGATCAGTATAATAAACAAAAGCATGTCTGATTCAACCGATAGGAGAAAAAAGAAGCAGCTTAAATAGTCCTTAAAGCTATGTTCTTGATCATTAAAAAATGTCGTTGGGTGCATGTCGAAACCTCCAAAAGCTATGCATTTTTGAAGGTTCCGACACTGCTGCAGTGACATATTTCTATGATCCAAGCAACATAAACATTAAAGTAATGGTGTAGGTTTATTTTGATCCGTAATATATAGCCTTGAACATCAATAATCCCTTCATGTTTGTAAATCTTGAACACTTTGTTGGTGGAAAGTGCAAAACCACAAGCATTTTGATTCCAAAAAAATAGCTTCTCTTTTTCTTTATGTATGGGTAGTATGTTAAAAAAATTTACATGTGATTTCACCATATATTGCATATAACTTGAGTCCCACTTTTGGATCAACAATGTTTACCCATAAAATGGAGGGGGACAACATTTAAACTAACTTAGGACTTCCAACAAACAGTTAGTGGGCATTATCTACTTGGACCAAAAGTGCCCTACAAGAATACTAATGTCCAATGTTATAATTCAGGATCAAAATAAACATATTCCTATGCTGTCAAGAACTTCGAGTTATGTGCATGTGTTATGGTTTTTGGTAAGGTTGTATTTTTTGTAAGTTATCTTCGTATGGTCTACATGCCACGAATTCGAGCCCTGGAAAATGAAAACAGCTACTAATGCTTGTATTAGGGTAAACACTCCTTGGGGTGCGGCCCTTACCCGAACCCTACGTGAACGCGGGATGCCTCGTGCACTAGACTGCCCTTTTTATGTTTTTGGTGGAATTGCTTTCAATACATAATTTTACGAAATGATTAAATTTAAATATATTGATAATGTAAATGGTTATTGCATGCACTATTAGGGCAATTTAACTTGTTAGATTACTTACTATAGTTTTCGGGTTATCAACCCACGCTTAATATAAAGTCGTTAGGTACTTATCATTTATGTTGCTCGAATTCTCCGAAAATGTTAGTGGGTACGTCTCGGATCATCCAAAAGTAATGTAATTTTGGAGGATCTGACACAGGTGCAGCAACACTTGTGCAACATAACTTATCATAGTTTTTAGGTTATCAACTCATGATTAGTTTTAATTGTTACATGTAGCTGAGATAGTTTAAGTGTGGATTTTAATTTCTTTTTTTTTTT